GTATACGTCCCACCGTCGTCGAAGAAAGTCGCAAGCAAGGCGCAGGAGAACTTCGGACAAATTGGGGAAGATGTCCAGAGGTTCAGTAGGAAGGGAGAAGTTGTCATGGTGGGCGATTTCAACTCCAGAGTAGGGAAAGCTTGCAGTAGAGGACAGGCGATCGGGCAGCACGGAGAAGACAAAGTGAATGACAACGGAGTGAGGATGCTTGAATTCTTGGGAAGCAACGAGCTGATGGTGTTGAACGGTAGGAGGGAAAGCGATAAGCCAGAGTTCACCAGGCAGAGGGCAGTTTGCAATGAATACTCGATCCTCGACTACATCCTGGTAGATAGGGGGAGCACACAGGTCCCGGAGCTGCACGTAAGTGCGATAGATATAGGTTCGACCGACCATTTACTCATATGGGCAAACATCGACCGATCTAGAAAGACGGAGAGTAAGAAAAAGAGGAAAGTGTTCCGGTGGAAAGTAGAGCGTTTGGGAGACGAGGGGACACGCGATGAATTCCAGAAGGGATTGGCTGGTAGTGTAGAACCCTTCAGGAAACTGCTGAGAAGCGTCGAAGACGGAAAGGTAGACGTACAAGCAGCAGGGGACAGGGTGATTGAAGGATGGGAGTCCATAGTGAACACAACGGCAGAGAGAGTAGTGGGAAAGAAGGTGGTACGATGTGGGGTATCGGTTAAGTGGTGGGATGACGAGCTGAAAGAAGAAATAGGGGAACGTAGAGAAGTCTTCAAGCAGTACCTGGGTGAGGGGTCTGAAGAGAGTTGGGAAAAGTACAGGGCCAAGAGGAAACAGGTGAAGGGACTAGTGAAAAAGAAGAAAAAGAGCATTTGGGACGAAGTAGTGCAGAAGGCCAACGGAGGCCTGGAGGGGAACGTCAAGCAGATGTGGGAAGGGACTAGTGGGATGGTAAAAAAGACCGCGCAAGGGGGGGATACAGGGGTAGCAACATTGCGAAGTGTGAACGGTGGACTAGTCAGCAGTGGGAAGGGAAAAAGGGAAGTTCTAGCAGGACACTACAAGAGACTTGGAGTGCCTTCGGAGAATGAAGATTTTGACCAAGTGTTTAAGAAGGAGGTGGACGCATGGGCCCAGAAAGAAGAAGAGACATCGAAGGCAGACGTTGGGAACGTAGAACTAGAAAAGGAGTTCACTGAGGACGAGGTTGAGGCGTGTGTGAACAAGCTGCAGTGCCACAAAGCAGCAGGGGCGGATGGGATAGTAAACGAGTTCATGAAGTTTGGGGGCAAGGGGATGATCCAGCTGATGGTACTGCTGTACAACTGGGTGTGGAAAAACGAGTATGCGCCAAGTAGATGGAGGGAAGGAGTGGTTGTGAACTTGTTTAAGAAAGGAGACAAGACTGACCCAGGAAACTACAGGGGTATCACACTGTTGAACACAGTAGGAAAAGTGTTCTGTAAGGCTGCTGAACGATAGGATAGTGGGAGTATTGGAGAAGAAACGTAGCATTAGTGAGGGCCAGGCAGGTTTCCGACGGAAGAGGGGGGGCGTGGACCACGCATTCACGGTAGGGGGAATCATCCAAGGTAGAAAGAGGGGGGGCAAGCGGACGTACTGCTTCTTCCTGGACGTGAAAAAGGCATACGATACCGTATGGAGAAATGGGCTGTGGAAACAAT